CAACTTTAAAAGCTTTGAGAAGCCACCTTTAAAAGTACTATATAAAATAAAGTGTATTACTTTATACCCCACTGCTTTTGAACTGAACTCACAATTCTGTCACTACTCAGTTTTCGCATATTGCTGCTATTTGAATGCTGTTGAAAATTACAGTAATTCTAATGTGTACTGCTACTATTGTATTCTGTACTATTGTAATGTATATTGCTGTTAACCATACGTTTATGCATACTAATATTTTACACTGTTACCCCTAAGTTAACAGGGCTACTTTTCACTGTGTTGTTGATACTCATCAGGTTCGTGTGTCCAGCAATTTGTGATGCCATTTGTTATTTAATTTTTAATATAACTTGATATGTGAGGAAACACACATGTAAACAATTCACTGTACTCAGGCACATATCACAATACATTTGAAATGTTTATACTGTATGTATATTATACACTTGGGAGGGGATCTGTCAACAGCTATGTTCAATCAGTCTCAGCTGCCAGTAATTTGTAATCAATCCTGATTATATTTCCCCACTTAAACACTATAAATGCTGTACATAATCCCCAATAATTCTTTCCAAATAAATGTTTTTCATCCAGCTCCACCCCATCTCCACCTCTGCAGCTGCCACTTGGTCACTTCTCAATCTGCATGGAGGTCATATTCTCCTCATCCTATGGTCGGGAGTTTAGCCCTCAGCCAAGTCAAATGACTGTAAGTTAAAATACTCAATAATGTTTTATTTCACTTAATTCTTGGTTGTTGTCATTCCTAGTGAAAAATAGTTATGAGAAAGAAAGACAGTTTGTTGTAATATAGAACCATTATTAAAATTTTACAGAATAGCTTAGAATCTGAAAAACAAAATTAGTTTCAAAACTAACTGGTCTTGGAGAACCTTCAAATCTACAAAGTCTGTGTAAGAGAACATGTTATTACAAAATCCCTGAATCAGATCAAATAGAAGAAAACAACCACTTTCATAGATGCATTTCAACTACTATATGTATCACATTTAATTCTAAAAGAGTCTTCAACCTAAGGAAATACTTGTTAAGTAAGAAAGAACGAATACCTCAAAATCGTCTCATGTGGTTTCAGATTTAAGTAACATAGCTCCTGTGTTGTTTGGTTAAATCAAGATTTGCCATTTTTTCTCACCTAATGAAAACAAATCTGAGAAAAAACATGCAATTAAAAAAACTGATTTTTAAGAAAATGTTAAGAAATTATTCCAATTGTTAATATTCTTCAAAGAAATTTGAGTCTTATCTTTTATGAATGTGATAACTGACAAGTATTAAAACACCTACACTTAAACTAAGAAAGATATTCAGTTTCAGTTGAAGATGTTGATCAGAATCTTCTTGGGTTTTTATAAATCTTTGCAGTTACAGACCTGAATATTTCAGTGGGTGTTGGAAGAGGTATTTGTGAAATACGCCCATTGCAGTAATACAAACTCTCAATTGCCCGCCTATCATTTTCTTGCCTAGATTTCAATACTGGTTCCTCAGTCCATTATATGATTAATAACACAGTGGAGCTCTTAAAATGACCAGACTTTGGGTAAGACTCATCATTTTCATCAGTACCAGTACAGGTAAGTTTAAAACCTGAATTATTTTACCAGGTTCCTTAAAAATCATAAAATGGTATCACAATGATTCAAAAGGTGTAAAAGGTTGTTTGTTTAATTATTAACCATTGCTTTTATGTTTGATGTGATTTAAATGTGATTTTATGGATTAAAGCAATACCATTTTTCGTGTAACCACAAAGCTTCTTCTCTTCTTCAATGTGCTAAACTGCTCAGATCTTGACCATTTTGAGGCAAGAACATGCAAAATTTACAGTTAAAGATTTTCACATCCACTATGTATCACCTAGAAATTACAACATTTTTGAATATGTTAAATTATACTTGCTAAAATTGAATTTAAATTTTATGCACATATATGAAGTGCAGTTCTTACACTTTATTTTTCTGTGGGTTTAATTTGTTAAAATATATTTCACAGTATTGCATATTAATGAAACATCATTGAAATATACAATCATCGTTGGTGCAATCTTTTGTGAAAAAAAAAACAAAGAAGTTCATTTGAATTTAAAATTTGGCAAATTGATTGAAAACTGGTAGATAGGAAAAATGATCTCTTCTATAAATGTATTCTAGTGTTATACTATCCTAAAACTACCTGATGCTGGTCTGTGTCTTCCAGGTGTCATTCCTGAGAATGTGGTTAATCAGCCTCATCTCTCAGTGACAGCGGGACTTGGAGGCTCTGTCTCTCTGGAGTGTTTTATTTTCACAGAAGAAACCCTCATAAACTGGGTTTGGTTCAAACAGGTCCTGGGTCACCCTCCCAGATATTTCCTGACTTCATTTGGGAAGTCAGATAAAGCCACTTTCTACAGTGAATTTGAAGACACGACCCGTTTCACAATGAAGAAAATGTACAGCCAATTCACCCTGACAATTTCCCAGGTGCAGCTCTCAGACGTGGCCACTTATTACTGTGGATTCCAGAGTTACACTGATGTGCAGTTTGGGAATGGAACCACACTCTTGCTGACAGGTACACAAGAGCAACTGCCACATGCATATAGTTTTATTCCTTTTGTTTTATTCACACCTAGCTATAAACAGATTAGTACCAGTATGAGAACTACTGCTTAATGTTTATCATGTTTTCTGTAAGAGGTATGAGGGAAAAGAATTAGGAAAGCATTCTGGAGTATGAATCATAATAGGCAGTCCACATAAACAAAACTAATCAGAATTATCTCAAGATCTAAGAAGGTATGACCAGCAAACACATCTAGTTTGTTCTTACTCATGGTAAGAACTAGAAAGATTATTTCAATTTATTTAGAGTCTCTTTAACTGGTCTTTTATTATTTTTGTTATCTTCTTCATGCAAAATTGCATGCTTTTACTTTTTAGTTTTTTTGAATAATATAAAATAAGAACAAATAAGAACATCAGAGAAGAAAGTTTTCATATTTATGCGATTCCCTATTACAACGCCTTACACCATTAATAAGCTGAAAAACAAACAAAGACATACCCATCAATTTAAAAGGAAAAAAATAAGAATTCTGGCAATATAATTGGTTAATAAAATAAATAAATACACTTTTAATAAATAAAAGTGTATGATAAACCCAGTGGCTAACACCAAAGTAAATATTAATAAAGTAGTTAACATTGACAAATATCTGACTTATGAACATATAATTAAAAAAAATCTCTTAATATTCCATTAATGGTGCTGTTTTAATGTTCTCTTCAGAATTTATTAGTAATAAGGGCCATATAAATGAATTTACATCCCCTGTACTTTCTAACCAATGGAACTATAATTAGATTTCTTCATGGATGTTGAAAAATACCATTGACCACATATCATCATGGAAAATTAACTGTAAATGTATCATGTGCACATGTTTACAAATTAAATATTTAGACAGATGCACGTGTTTTGGATTCATCATATATTTTTGAAACCATTACCACTGTAAGATACAATAAGTTACAGTAAGACACAGTTTTTTAGAATTAAGCAGAACACTTAGGGCTTTTGGTCTGTGTTTCAGGCAGTGAGTCCAGGAACAGTGTGTGTGAGGCAAGCTGTGTGTCCCAGCACTCAGGGGAGCAGCTGTGTCTCCACTGTGTCTCAGCTGGAGCTCCCTGCAGTACTTCTAGAAGAATCTTAGGATCTGCTAATACAACTCACACTGCAGGTAAATGAAAATATTGGCACTGTACTATACCTTTTGTCTGCATAAAGAATCACTTTGTATTTTCAGTGCATGCATGTATACAGTATAACCAAGAAAAGAACAGATTACAAAATGCATTGAATCATTGAAGAACTCTCACATTTATAAATTAGTATTTGCAATCTAAAATTGTTTTGAACACCTTAGGACTATTGAGATAATTTTTCATGGAGCAAGTCTGTTAATAGTTTGAGATTTTTGTCATTAGTATTATGTAACAAACAATTTTTTTATTTATGTTTGCTTGTTAGTTTCATTCTTTTATTTCAACTGTACTAGATGGAACTTTTTCAATCCTCTCATTGACCCTGACACACAGATAATCTTAATAAATTAATCAATTATTATGTGCAATAAATCAAATTGAATAATTGCTTTCATTGTAATCTATATCTTAAACTACAATATATCTTATGTGCCATGTTAGCTCAATGACCAGTCAAAAGTCTTGTGAGTCCCAGGTATTTGGCACTAGATTAGGAAGGGCCAACAGTCCTTGGTGTGGTGTGTGGTTTTCCGTCACAACCCTGCACTAGTCTGATCCACCCAAGGGTAGAGTCCAAATCCAAGATTATTGTATCATATCAGCCACTTAACACCATATTGTTAAATAGATCATGCTTATGTGTTCCAAGGCTTCAAATCAGTGACTCACAATCACTTCTCTGGACTTCTAAAAAGACCTGCAGAGCTTAGAATTTTTTCTTGTTATCAGTGTCTTGATGCATGTTGATATCATGTAATATTGATAATTGAAAAGTATTTAATTCCTTTAGTCAATATCTTTCTTGGTGACTCATGTATCAAGGATATTAACCTGATTAACATTTATCAAAGTCAGTGGTGTTTGCCTAGTTACAGCTTAGTCAATGAGTTTGTGAACTGTACTGTAGCTGCTCAGGCCTGGGGTGACCAGTGTCTCTGCAGAGGGCTGATCCCATAGAGGACAGCTCAGCTACACACGTGTCAGGAAAAGATGGCAATGTCATGGGCCTGAAGCAAAAACTGTAGAGATATATGGGGGATGGCACGTGTTTTACAAAAATAAACATAGGGAAGGATTACCTTTTTCTCAGAAAGAAGGAGGGTCTAAAAGAAATTGAAAGCAGCTGGCAATCAGGGCTATACCACACTACAGAAGAAGGTGTCAAGACCTTTGGCTTTGAGACAGTGCTATTTTACGTCCAGGCTACTCTGAGCTCTTGCAGCTCTGCTGCAGACCCTTGCTGAATTATGACTGTGCTACTGTGACTAATAGAGTTCAACTTGATAGAACACACTGCGGCCCCCTTTAGGGCTCATCAGTTAACTGTCTCTATAGATTAGACTCACAAGAGAGACATGTGGATCAGTGGTAACAGCAGAGAACAGCTGCCCACCAGTGTTGAGCTGCAACTGGAGTACCAACTAGTGAAGTTTGTAATGGAAAAGCTGGAGCAGTCTGTTACATAACCTTATCCTTGTATGTATATCCTTGTCTGGAGCAGTCTGTTCCATATCATTTCTTATCTTGAACAAGGATCTGGGGGTGGAGGGTGTGATTGCTTCAAATCTAAGTTATGTGGGATAAATCTCCTATCAGATGTGAACACTCTCACTAATGCCTAATGAGAAAATAATAATTATATTGTTAAAAATAAAGATTAAATGAAAATTGTTAGTCATTTTTTCCTTTATTCATTATCTTTATTGGTGACTCATGCCTGAAGGATACTCACCTGATCAATGCATTTATCATAAGTAGTAGTGTTTGCCTCATTACATCATAATCAATGAGTGTGCAAATTGTACGGTAGCTGTTCAGACCTGGGGTGACCATGTACACACATTTTTTTTGTCTTGCAGTGGTAAAAACATAATTTTAGATGTGTCACTCTGTGCTGTAAATTAAACACCAATAGAGATTAAGACTCTATCAATGTTGAAGCTATCAATGCCAAATATTCAGATAGGTTCCAGTGATGTTTCAATGTGATGAGTTTTGTCTTTTTTTTTGCCTGTGCTATCTATTTTTGTGGTTACTTTGCAAGAAGGCAGGGCCTTTATCTAAGAAACAGTGCCTCACCTTATAAGGTAAATCTGAGATCAACAGGTTTTTTTTAGAATCAGTAACAGTGACTGAACACTTCCTGTGACCTCAATGACAGGAAACAGAAGCTTAGTGTTGTGTGTACCCAGCTAGAGTGCAGACACCGTCTACAGACACTGCTCTTTGCTGTGCTAGAGTAAAAAATAAATCTAATAGTTGCACTTTTTCTCACGCTGGAACAGTGAATCATCCAGGTTTTACTCTAAATGTTTTGTTAATATTTAACAAGCAATATTAACATTAAAAAACATATTTAATGACCTCTTCGATTTATGCTCCTTTATACACCTTTAAGAAATCAGTGACTTTTGATGCGAATATTAAAAAAAAATATTTGTTTGTAACTGCGAGGGACTGGCATTACTTCCAGAGTGTACCCTGCCTTGCATACGTTGCTTGGTGGGATAGGCTCCTGCTCCCCCACGAGCCTGTAATGATTAGAAAGTGGATGGATGGGTTTGATCGTAAAAGTTTTGTATCCTTGTTTTACACTTGTGCGTGAATATTCCCCGAAATGTGTCCAGGGAGTTGTCTAGTCCATGCTACATAAATTGTATTACTTTACATGCTACTTTGAGTTTGTAAAAGGTGAAAAATATATTGCATCTTTCAAAGGACGGTAGAGATACAGCACAAATCAGTTTGAAAAGATTGATTTTTTAGACTGTTGTCCGTTTAATCAATGCCCTCTTGAACACTGTAGAATGGTCAGATGGTGGAATGGTCAGAGGTAACAAAAACTGGTAAGCAGGAGTGCTGTTGTTAAACCTCTGATGTATAATTGTAAAACGTTATGTGGAGTGTTGTTTCCCAGCGTTAATGTTAAAAGCATGTCCTGTGTTGTCTCGATGCAGCCGTCTTTCATGACCAGCTGTTTCAGCGTGTGACCGTGGCTCTGGGTGTGCTGAGCGCCGTGCTCCTCAGCGCACTCACGGTGCTGCTCTGCAGAAAAACATACAGCGGACACTGCCAGGTCTGCAAAGGTAAGGCATCTCGGTACGATCGGCCATGCACTGCTGTTTATTAAGTGGGGCCCATATTGATAAAATCCGTTATATTTTTTTCCGTTTTGCAAAGATGGCGTACAAACATTTTGTTTTTGCCCGAATTTTCAAGACAACCTCCAGACAAATAAAGGCGAGAAATAGTGTCTAACATCAGAATGTAGGTAAATGAAAATCACATTTCCCACCCTTTCTCCACATTTCTCTTTGTGTTTAATTTTTTTTTACCTTCCCTTTGTCTGTTTTCTTTAAATGTTAGGAGTAAATTCCGAAAACACCCTCCAGACAAATCATCACATGAACAGTGAACAGGTAAACTTCTCAAAATTAAGTAAAAAAGTGTTGATGAAATCAGTATAATCAATGTAATCAATACAAAACTATTTTAACTAAATGCATAATATTTATAGGTTATGCTATTGTATTTTATTGTTGTTATACATTATAACAATGTTATTGGTGCTATATTAGCGTGGCTACACGTAATGGCAATTAGTTGGTACTTCTTACAAGAAAATAAATATTATCAGTATAAAAAACTAGCATAATACCGTTAGAATATATTAGCCGCTTTAAATAAGGTTATCTAAATCTGATTTCAGTTTATTTTGTAATCTCATTAATATTTCTGCCAGTACAAAACTGTAAGAGTATGCTCAGTGCACTTGTTAACATTTACCCCCAGGGAACAACTAAACAACGTAGAATTCTTCTGGTACAAATAAATATATTTATACAAATATGCAAAGAAAACATCACTACCTGCTATATCTTTAGGCCAGACCCTTTTAGTGTTGTACAATTCCACCTGCTAGTACAGTTTAATTGAAGGAAAGCATTTATATCACTAATTTCTGAGCATCAATTATGTGTTTCAAACATCAGTTTTAATTAAAAGGGAGCCATTGTCCTGAGATTTTGTCTCTACTACAAAATGATTTACAATTTGCTTTATATGTGTTACTCTTCATAATGACCATTAACCCCTGTTGTGTTAATGGATGTAACTCCTATTATGTATTGTTATATTCGCTTTTTTTCTTAATAAGCAGGGCAAGGACACGCTCCACTATACAGGTTTAAAGTTCTCCCAGAGCAGAAACATCCCCAGAGAGAAGACGAGAGGGAGGCAGGAGAGGACAGCTGAGATGCTGCAATGTGTGTACTCTGTGGCGAGACACTGAGGCTCTCTGGCAAGAGACTGTACATTTACCCCGGCAGAGCTCTGATCTAAAATGTAGTATATTCACCCTCAGACCCCCACACAGGCTGGGATATTAGCCCAGCTGTTAGCCTAAGTTAGCCTATTATTTTTATTTACATCATGTTTCTCATTCGCTCATACAGATACTAACTAGCAAAAGGAGCATATGACTTTGACTTGAAATTCAGTGTAAATAAATTTCAGACATTTTATTTAGGAATGGAGAACATACATTAAATGTGACCATGAAGCTGTTAAACCTGTAAAGGCATCTTAGAAAAGGGACAGAAATGTTTATATTGCCTCATCCAAGTTCTCGTCTAGTTCTCATTTAATTTAGGAAAGCAACAAAGATGATCTTGGTAATGCTGTTTATTGACAGAAAATTCAGGTGCTCATACAACAAAACAGCTTTTGTGTAAAAGTCAAATCTAATTATTCATAATTGTGCATATGAAATATAATTATTGTAATTATTAATTAATAAATTATATATTTAACTGAACAGGTTTTCAAATTGATGAGCCAATGGGCCATTTGTAGAGCTTATAAAATTTGTAGTTCGTAGTTCAAATAATTTACAATCCTCTGGTATGAGGGTCAGAGTAGTTATCAAGCAGCAGTGGAGTGCAAGTATTTATGTCAGTTCATTTATGATAGAGGCAATCTGTTAACTAGCAATCTGTTACAAAATTAATACAACTTAGAAACATTCTATAAACAGTGCAATTAACACTTAAGTGATTTTATAAGAAACAGTCTTGTTTTGCTTTGATTTGCATATTATTTTCTATAGCATGCAAATAGTTCAGTAAACAAGTCCCTGAAGTAGAAGGTTAATACTGTACCTCAAATCCTACAAAAGTTCATGTGTAGTTCAGGTGGAAATTTACACAAACGCCAAAAACTAAGGGTACTACTAAAATACAAAATATGTTTTTATTTTATCCATTCCAAAGACAAATGCCTAGTTATTTTTTATAGTGCAGTCCTGTTTTTCACTTGGAATACAATAAAATGTATTACTATTACTGTTATATTATTACTAATGTTGTTGTTGTTGATGTTGTTACTGTTTAATAAAGCAATGCACAGACAATAAATTTTAATTTATTTGATATTTTTGTTGATGATGTTATTTGTTATTGTTATACAACAGTCTATATAATAATTATATAACATTATATAATCACTATTATTACATTTACATATTACATTATTATTATTACAGCATTGTCTTGATGCAGCAACTTTAGCAGTCATACTTTAATTGTTTTATTCAATCAGAAAATAGTGCACAGCTGTAATACAGATATTTCAATGTCTACATGATTTTAATCTTCAATAATAATTATTAATTTGTTGAAGACCCTGAACTCAACAAAAATGCAATATATTATTTAAAATATGTGAGGGCAAAGCATTCAGTGACAAATTCATTCATCCATTTGTTTAGTTGTTTATTCATTTACAAAGTTGTTTATTTCTGTAGAGGGATTGAAGTGAGATGTTATTTAACTTTAATAATCGATTCTTAAGTTGTTTGTGATGTTAAATAGTAAAGACTAAGAATATTGTATATTGAGTATAATTTTAGTTTAGATTTATATTCGATTTTTATGGCTAGCTTATTAACACATCATGGATAACAAAGATATAAAATTGTTCATTACTTGGTCAGTAATAAATGAGCAATACTCAAATGAGCAATAATGAGAATTAGGAATATAATAGATATTTATAATAGATCAACTAGTAACAAGATTATTTACTATAAAACTACAAAATTTTTCATAACATGCATGCTATAAACCAATTATAAGTACCCTTAGTTTTGAAAACTGTTAATACAGTTTTAATGTAACAGTTATTACAATTCAATTACCCAGTTCAATGGTATTCTCCATTATTACTGATCAAGTCTAAGAGGGCTGAGTAATATGAATGTCCTAGGTCTGATTGTGGAAAATGAATCAGATGAGTGTCTATGGAGGAAATGGGTCCCCATTTACAGGGCACACACATTGCATATACTGTAGATCGCTGTCTCACAGAAATAAGGCTGGATCAGCCCAACCAACTGCCTTGCTTTTTTTAGCTTAAAACCATAATTTAAGTATGGTATGAGATGAGATGGAGTAATTCTCCATCTTCAGTTTTTATCTCTAGAGAGAGTTCTCTAAAAAAGAACTTCTGATACAAAGATTTTTTCTTCTAAAGCACATGTTTTCTCAGAAGACTTCACATGAAATGAAAAGGGCTTGATGGCTATTCCCACAAATGAACTGCATGTCGAACCAGGGTTTCTCATGCAACAAAACAGGCTTTTTTTTCTCCAAAAACACATAAAACAACTTTTTCTTTTACATGTGCTCTGTTTTTTTTTTCACCTTCGCTTGGTAGCATCCGGTGGGCTGTGAGTTATTTTCCATTGCCAATTTCACTGCGTTCTTTTACTGTCAAAACAGCCAGTGCAGGAAGGCTGACCTATAGACAAACCTTTACACCTTCTAGCAGTTGAAAACCACCACAAAGTCTAACTCAGACCAGAAATCACACTAGATCTTGGTGCTGTTCACATTTATTGAGCTAAAAATAAAGCAACCAGGCAGCTGACCCCTTTTACAGTTACAGAATTTAAAAGCTTAAAATAAATAAGATTTAGTGTAATTTATAGCTTTTGTGTAGCGAATGCTATTAAGAGATAAACCTGCTGTATATTTGTAAATCTTATCTAATACCATAAAGCCAGTCAGATTTTAAACTTAGCAACAATGATTTTGATAATAGAGGTATTGATTAAAAACACATTAAAGTAGTTTTAATTTTAGAGTAATTTTTCATGCAAGTGATTAATATAATTAATTTCAAAGGCTGATCTAGCTTGACTGTTGGCTCGTAGTTTTCAAAATTCAATTCAAAATACTTTATTTATCCCAGGAGGGCAATTTAATAAATTTAATCAGAGTATTGTTTGCAAAGTTATGAAACATTTATTTATAAATAAACTAGGCAGTTATTAAATAATGACAAAAGCTTTAATTCAATGTAATTAAATAAATTTAATAAACTCCTGTGACGGAGTATTTATTTGCTCTTCCAAACCTCCACTTCCAAAAAAGAATAAAAACATCCTCTGGTTTGAAATCACATAATTTAACTGCTGTTTTATTGAATGTGTTTTTTGTGCTTAGTAAAAAGCAGAGTACCAGCAGAGTATCAGAGTATGTTTAACAGAAATTTCAAATGACGCTAGTGCCACCAGGCGTCAGAAATATGTACGGCACCACGAATTTAACCACTGAAGCATTATGTGAAGTGGGTAGAAAGGTTTTCTTCTAATTATTTTAGAAGGAAATATTTATTTTTTGTCATTTTTTTCATGACATCTGCTCTAAAGGTTACCTTTATTCTTTCATGTTCATCAGCGTAGTAGGCCAATTGGTAAACTCAATAAGAAGTAAAGTAGTTGAGCTGCTGTAATATTTAACATATACTGAACAAAAAAGGCTCTATAGCCGGAATGTTGTGTTTCTACAGTGGATATAAAAAACTACTACTTTATATTTTTCAGTATGGAATAAACCTTTGCAGCCAACACACGTTGATGCAGTTCTTGCTTGAACATGTGTAATATTTTATTATTTCTTTCCAATTTACCTCGAAGTTACTCTTTCACCTTAGTGCTACTCCAGCATGAATGTTGTATGTTCTAATACTCAAAAAGAACAACCATATAAAAATTTAATGGAAAACTGAGAACAGCTGAAGTCACTTATTTGCAAATAAGAGCATGCTTTCATTTCATAAATGCCATAGTTGTACGGAGTGTGACACACTTTACAGTCAAAATACTAGTTGAGGTTGTGTTTGCAGTCAAAACTCATTAACCTTTGTGCTATTCAACAGAGAAGATTATGAACAAACCTGATACAAGTATTCAAAATCCTCAAATGCACTGAAAAAGTAAACCCGGGAAGATCTTCAGAAAAAACTGAAGCATGAACTAGAAAATACAAGTGAACACTACGTAGAAGTCAATTTAAAAATGAGAACAGGAAGTATTTTAACCCAAAGAGTTGTAGGATAATGGAACAAGCTACTATGTCATGTCTCCCTTGAAACAGATCATTAAATAAATTAATTCTTAACTAGAAAAGTAGCAGATGGGCTGAATGGCTTCATCTTGTTTGTAGCAAATTCTTAAAAGGTTCACATTGTTAAGCAAGGAAGGAGTGTGTGTCTGTGTGTTGCAGGAAGGGCTGGTTTTCAGACTCTAGAATGTTCCTAATCCATCACCTAGTCCTGTAGACCACACAAGAATAATCAAGTAAGATTGTGTAGCCACTATGTGCTTTCCCCTCTTCTCCAGGACCTAGGAAGAGTTTAAAAGTTTTTGTCCCTGCTCTCACTTTTTTAGTAAATAGAAAAAACAGGACTCTGAGTGCAAGTCTCCAACACTTCTCTGCCAAAGGTGGGTGGATTAATGAAGGCAGAAGTATCAATATAGATATAAGAATCCAATCCTCCTTTTTAATACATTAACATCCTTTTTAATATATTAAAAATGCCTTTCTGGCACCTTGTTTGGTGCCTGTGGTTAAAGGAGAAATAGGCAATCTGAATGAGCGCAAGAGAACAGATAAAAAAACAGATGACTTTCCCTGAGATTAAAAAAACAGTCAAGAATATTACAATTCTTAATGCTGGCTGGTGTTATAGTGGTCAGACTGCTGCACTTGTGGCTCACTGCTGCATTGTGCTAAATTCTTTTATATAAGACTGATGATCTATCCTACAAATAACCTTGGATAGTATATATCGAAAGTCTTTTTTCATTCATGCGTTTTTCTCAAATGTCATGGGTGCCTTTCTCCAATTATGCTGGTAGTGCCTTGAATCGAATTGTACTATCATATCTGCTTCAACACAAATAACTGATTGCAGCCATTTTCTAACTGTGCGATTATTTACAGTATGTGCACCAGGTGAAGTGTGAAAAAGAAGGAGTTTCAGTTTGGCTGGCAAATCTCTGTTTTATGAGAACAGAAGCACGTGGATGAGATGCACTTGTTATACAAAGTAAGTGACATTTTTTGGGGGGCTGAAACCTAACTGTTAATGCCTGCTACATGAAGGGGGAGGTCTGTACCAACATTAAAAATGCTTAGTTGCATTTGCGTCAATAAAAAGAACATGATTGAGAAGCCCGTTTCCTGAAAAGCCCACAATTTGTTCTCAAATTGAAACAAACATCCTGTGGAAAACAGAAATAGCCTTCTTGGTAAAAGTCAGAGAATGAGTGGCCACACGCCTGCCATACCTCTGCACTTAGCCCTGACCACAGTCCTCCGCCTCCTCTCCCCCCCAGCCCTTTCTGGTCAGGGGTGTGAACGTTCCCCCAGTCACACATATTCTGATCACCACACTCGAGACCCTTATTTCCAACAGTGCAACAAGTAAAGGGTAAAACCACATTTTGAAAATAACAAATTAACTATTTGTTTCTACTTCTGTGCATTAGACTAAAACCGCAGTGTTATACAGTGCAGATATTTTCCATTGTTGTCTTTATACACAAATATGTTAGAGGCCAAGCACTGACAATACTTTGTGCAAACCTTCACCCTTCAGCAGCAATAAACTCTGAACTGGAAAATTAAATTTTCTGAGAGTTGCGTACTCTGCAACAAATTTGTATTAGTTTTTATTCAAAATTTCTTCACTGACGTTTCATTTGGCTCCAAGCATAAATGCCACATTGATGATTTTTGGTTTGTTTGAAAACCATATAGCATTCTCCCCTTCCAAGGGAACTGCTGAAGTTTTTAATCCCATCCCTGGAGGAGTTTACACTTATCTGTATACAGTATATTCACTTTGTTGAACACAGAGTAGTAACAATTGAAGCTTTGTTCTGATCATTTTCCTTTGCCATTTTTCCTAGAAGGGTCTGAACTATCATAGTACATATCTAAAACACTGCTTTCATATCAAGTACATATCTAAAAATACCGGTGCTTTTGAGAGCTGCAGATGTTGCCCTTTGTTTAAATTTTCCTAGAAATTCATCACTGACCTTCAATATTTGTGGTTTAAATTAATTGCTCTCCCTGTAGAATGCATGACATTATATAAAAAGTGGATTTTAAATATAAGTGGCTCATTTAAAAGCATGAGGAACGGTAATTGGCCTGTCACTCATCTTGCATTGGCCTTGGTCGAAAAATAGCTTTTATTTTTAGAGCTGAGTGCAACTTCATGACTGAGGTTCTCTTGATAAGCTTCGGAAATATTGTTTTTGTCTGTCCTTTTAGATTTAATTAAATTATATATTTTTCTTCTTTTCTGTGAAGATGTGTCTTTTCTCACCCTCAGTGATGCTTTTTGTGAGTTACAGCCCTTTGGTGCCACCTGGTGGCAGCAAGGATGAATTTTTATTTCTGTTGGTTTAAGATTAGCTGGCTGAGGGTCCTGTTTCATCAGATTCTCAGCAAGAAAGAGTTCCTAACAGCCATCACACTATCTACTCAGGCTTATTCACTGACATTATAAAGAACATTTTGCTGGAGGCAGTCAGTTTCTCCAAGATACCAAGAACAACAATGAAACTATCGAAGAAATTAGCAAGACCAACATGCACGTGGTCTTATAAAGCCTCTATTTGCTTTAACTAACTTTAAAGATACTCATCAGCAAGTACACTTTGCTAGTACACTTTGAAACTTCTATCAGAAGATGCCTTAAAATGTAACTTATGAGAGTAACTATTGGGAAGCTTAGTAACTAAATTTCAAACATTCTAGATATGGCTGACCCTGCGCTCTGACCCCAGGCTCTCTCCCTATCTGTCTCTGTGTGTCTCATGGAGAGCAAGCTGGGGTATGCAAAAAGATGAATTCCTAATGCAAGAAATTGTATAGGGCTAATAAAGTGATGTTATGTTATGTTATACAATGCACATTAACCCATCACACTGCTATAATTATTTGTTTATGCATTTAGTTGTATATTAATTTTTATAAACCTTAAACTTTATTAACATAAGTGAAAAATAATGCTTACTGTCATGCTGTCTATTTTTTGCTTTTTATTTTTCTGAGGAGCTGTTGGATAGCTGTATAGAGCAGCTATATCTTCAGAGAGGGGCAGGGGCTGCTCTGGAAGATGTGGTCAGCTGTCTAGCAGTTGTCTGACAGCTGGTTGGCTGTTGTGCTTAGAACACAGCAGTGTTGTTTGAACTGCCTACCTTCCATGCCTCTTTCCCCCTCCTTTTTCTGACACGTGGTGGATTTAGCCTTGAATTAGGGAGGGTGGAGCAGTTAGGTTGGTGTGTATGGTTTTTGAGATTCAAAAACAAATTTTAAACATCCCAGCCTAGACATAGTGTACAGTACATAACCTGACCTTATACATATTTCAGCAGTGTGACAGCTGGATGTGATAGTGCATTATAAGAAGGCTAAACAGACAAAAGGAGGGCAGAAGGCTGAAAATGGCATTAACACCTGTTGACAGCAGAGGGCAGTATTCCCTGTTCTGCACACAATCTTTTCCTTTTGAGAGCAGCATCGATTACATTGCATACTCGGTGAAGAGAGAGGCCTTCTGCTGTCAGCTTTTGTTAATTTCCTTGTTCTGGCTCCTGCTCTGCCCTGCACAGAGATGTTTCACCTACAAACATAACACCACAGAGCCATGTACAGCAGGCTATGCTTATGTATATGTGTGCAACAGTGGCAACAACACAGTAAGGTGTAATAAAACAGTAAAAACACATAGTAAAGCGTTTACGGGTGTGGTGAAATATGACACAAGCCAGGTCAAAATGAAATGAATTTGTAAGTTATAAATGATCATCATAGACTGCTTTACAGTATGTGTTTGGAAAGAATATTGGCTGATATCTCTGATGCACCACAGTTATTAGTGACTGTTAAGGGTAACATCCCTCTTGGAATCCCAAAAAGGGATTTGTGAATCCGTTTTGTTCCAATCTAACACTTTTTATAGAAATCCGTTCCCTAATTTCTGCTGCAGGACAATATATTGAGATCTTTGCCTCTTATTTAACTGTAAAACTCTGTTCACGAGACTAAATTGAGATCTATTCACATTCTGTGTGTTCCATGGACATGTAGAGTCTGTAATCCAGGAGACCGGGTCACTCTGCAATTCTCTGAGGACAATGACCATCCCAGCACCCTGAGGAGCCATGACAGCTGTCTCAGGAGTGTGATTGGCACAGGAAACCCCAGTTCCTCTGAGACCCAGGAGGGGTTCAGCAGCAGGTTGAGAGGCAGGGCAAAGCATTTAACCTCTGAATTATACAAGTCAAGTCTTCAGGCACTGAAGTGCATTACTGTGTGGAGGAGCTGCACAAGAAGATGCACCATGGCAAAGGAACAACATTGTTGATGGAGACCAAAGACCATAGTAAGGGTGCTCGCTTCCCTTACTTGTCAACAATAATCCTGGATCACCCTTAATTTAGCCATTCATTCCCTGTTAAAACAGGGTTAAGATTTAAATTTATTTTTCATAGCCAGACATGCAAAGAAATGCATATTTTTAATAATTTTAATAATCTTTAAGAATCCTAAACATTCATAACAGTCCACATTCACAAAGACAGTGAAATGCAACACTTCACAAATAGTTTAATTTTAAAATAAAAAAACTATAGGAATAAATGCAATTATTAAATAAGTTCTATTTAATAAAGCAACAAAGGAAATATTTGCTGTAACAGTTTGATTTTTTTTTAAGGAAGCAAATGTAAATGATCACATAGCAATAACCTTTAATAAAACCTAAAAATCTCAGAAAATATCTGCTGGAGAATGGAGTGCATATAACTGAGTCACATAGTATTATTCTTTCAATAATCATATAGAATTTTATGTATTCTTAAGGTAGGGCAGCAGTGGTTAGGATTTTGAATTTATAACTAGAAGCTTGTAGGTTAGAATTCCAAATGAGACTACACTGTTGTAGCCTTGAGCAAGATGTCTTACCCAAATTGTTCCAGTAAAACACTGTATAAATGAGTGCAAATGTAAGTATAATGGACAAAAACTGTGTCTCTGTGTCCTCTGGTATTTGCTCCAACCAAGATGTTAATGACAAATTGATTGATTACATTTTTTATCGGAAGTCTGTTTTTTTTTATTTGCTTTCAAACTCTTAACTCAACTGGGAATTTTAATTGGTATTGACTCTATACTAGTGAGTTCCAGAATTCCCTTTAGGCGTGTGGGCTGAAATTAGCCAGTTGGACTTCAACAGAAAGTAAATACTGTACATATTTGTTCACCAGAATCTATTCCTTATCAAAAACATTTTAAATGGAAATAAGGAAACAAAATTGTGTTAATTTTGTTTTGATGTTAGCAAACAAGTAACAAACTCGTTTTTGTTCCACTTGAGCACTTTATAATTGTACCCTTAATACATCTAATAATAGGCTGAATTTCACATCTACTTGTCTTCAGTTTATGAAGAACATGTAGGATGTAGCCATTTTTAATACTGTCCTTCTTAGGTAAATTAAAATTTCCAACTTTTGAGTAAAAATAAAAGCAAATTGATGGTTCAATTCATAATTTATTTAAGTAAATAGCCCAGGAACAAAGAAAACCATCAGGTGAGGGGATCCCGAAGTCAAGGATAGGGAATCCCTGAGTTAAAGGCTGCCGTTAGCACTAGTGATTAGGGACTCACTTGTAATTAAATCCAAAAGACACAAGAGTTCCTCAGAATCAGAACAGAGAATCATCACTCTCATTAAAGGGTGTGCTGTATTTTACAGTAAGGCAATAATAATAAGGCTTTTACAGTTATGTTGTTTATGTTGAAAGCAGTGTCAAATGGAAAACAGAGCAGGTGAAGGGAAATCCAAGAGCTCAAAGTTAGGAAATCCCTGAAAGTAAGAGAAAGTAGTGCAGAGAGAGGAAGAGTCTAAAAGAGAGAGAACCTTTGGTTTGAGCAGGTGAAGTGGAAGTGGCCTCCACACCTGTACTCCTGTAAGCCTGTTTTTTATAGTGCCGAATGAAGTGTCCCTCTGCTTGGAACAATGTTGTCAGTTCCAGACAGTACAGCTCTTAGAGGGTTCCTGAGGGATCTTGTCTTATTTTGCCCTCACAGGAGATATATAATAATTTATGAAATATTGATTAACAACAGCTCATAACTTTCTGGTTCAGAGTCCAAAAGCTTTAATCACAGGCTAATAATTGACCAAGAGCAAAAGCCTCCAGAGATAATTAAACATCGCCCGAGTTCCTAGTGTCACTATCTGGGAAACAACCTGAAAAATCTTTCGTCTGCTGTCTGTGAAGGTCTGCCATGGGCTATTACAGGTTGAGATCCCCCCCCCCCACCACCACTTTCTCACACTTTCTGATCAAGTTGCAGATGAAAAGAATAATTCAGACAGAAAATAAACTTTGTCTTCAACAATTTTTAAAGAATTTATTACAAGGTGGGCCATTGTTTTCTGTGCAATGGACAGAAAGATTCAAATGGCTCTGAGGAGGTAGAAATTTGGAAAATTGGTGAAAATAAAGATGGTTTTATTCATTGAAATTATTATGAAGATATGGGCTCTCTACTGCAGGATTATGCCCCCTGTTTTATGGTATGTCATGGTGTCATTCACATAGGTCTCTTGACCTCTTGTCAAGAGATCCGAAGGCTGAATCCAACTAAGGGTTGGTCAACCTTAGTGTGAGAGCTTCATGGTCACAAAGAGCTCATAGCCCAAACACTATTCTTCACCCTTCTGGTCAGCCTGTGTGAGACCTCCAGAGCGTAAGAGTGAATAATAATAATTAATGATTGCTTACACTTATATAGTGCTTTTCTGGACACTCCACTCAAAGCACTCAGAACACATCAGCTATTAGTGGGGAGGAGAGCCAATTCATAGATGGAGATTATTAGGAGGCCATGATCAGTGAGGGCCAATGGGAAATTTGACCAGGACACCAGGGTTACACCCCTACTCTTGTCGAGAAACAGCCTGGGATTTTTAATGATTTTATACTATACTGATTTTTTTTTTCAGTATAGTGTCCCCATCACTATACTGGGGCATTATGACCCACATGGACCGCAGGGTGAGCGCCCCCTTCTGGCCCCACTAACACCTCTTCCAGCAGCAACCTTAGTTTTTCCCAGAAGGTCTCCCAACCAGGTACTGACCAGGCTCACAACTGCTTAGTTTTATTGGGTTGCTAGTTGTGAGTTGCAGGTTGATATGGCTGCTGGCAAATGTAATCTCTGACTCAACGGCAATAGTCTGGGCCTGTTACTATCGTAGGCCTTTGTTTTCTCAACTGATGGACCTTATATTGAAACTAAGATTTAAAATATTCCTTAACCTGTACTGCAGATGTTATGAAAACATGGGACAATTTTTGGTGCTTGGGAAAATTAGCCTTGGTGTGAGCGTGTGCATGCCTGTGTTTGTGTCTGTGTGTGCCCTGTGATGGACGGGCATCCTGTCCAGGGTGTATCCTGCCTTGCACTCATAGCTTGCCAGGTCAGACTCTGGCTTTCCCACAACCCTGAATTAGATGAAACCCTTAGAAATTGGCTAGATAAAACAATCTGTGGCTATATTTACTAGTGTTGGGAAAATAACCTTTAAAATGTAATCAGTTATTGTAACAAGGTACTTGTCTAAGAGATTATATTGGACATGTTTCAGATAAATATCTTAAAAAAGTGGTTATAATAAAATATGCAGTGTGTGAAAAGTTATAACTTAAGGAAGTATCTTTTAACTGCAACTAATTATTTTTCAAAGTAATTCCCCTAAATATTAATTTACAATAAAAATAAAATCAAATAGACATAAACCCTTATTAATAAACTCCTATTTTACCTAATAAAAATGTTCTGCACCTCCAATCGCTGTTTACAACAGAACCAACTGTTGATAACACACACCTGTTGTAGTGTGATATATATATGCTTGCTTCGGCAGCACGTATACTAAAATTGGAACGATACAGAGAAGATTAGCATGGCCCTTGCGCAAGGATGACACACAAATTGGTGAAGCATTCCATATTTTTGGGGCGGAACGGTGGCTAAGGATCTGCCCCTATGGCTGGAAGGTTGCCAGTTCAAATCCTGCAGCTAACAGAGGAATCCTTCTCCATTGGGCTCCTGAGCAAGGCCCTTAACCCCAACTGCTTCAGGGGTGCTGTACAATGGCAGACCCTGCACTTTGACCCTAGGCTCTCTCCCTGCCTGTGTCTCATGGAGAGCAAGCTGGGATATGCAAAAAGATCATTCCTAATGCAATAAATTGTAAATGGTTAATAAAGTGATGTTATTTATTATTATAAGTGGTAAAACTGATAATGTGATAATCAATAGCAATATTCAGCATTCTGGAGGTCAAAAGTTAGCAAACTTTTTCTTATCTGAGCCACTGGGAAAGTTCCTCTTCTCTGCAATCACAGCCAGCCTGCAGTCTGGAGTGTGGAGCAAAAGAGCAGGTGAGTTTACCACAGCAACACTCTCAATCCATATAATCACATTTTTAATCAATCAGTCTTTTGATTTTAGTGTAATTTTGCAAAGTATCTGCTCAAAGCTGATAGCATAAAGCAAGCTTGGGAATTGGAATGTAAAAAAACAGAAACAGCACAACCAGTCACCAGGTTTCAGGTTATCATGATAGGCAAAGATATAACTAGAAAAATGTCAGAGAAAACAACAGTTCATGTGCAGACCAATGTGAAGGTGACCCTTCACTGAATCATAAGGTTTGTGTTAATTTGTGGGGAAATTAGTTTTAAACTTTTACTCACCTGCAGTATGATTATGTCCACAAACAGAAAAAATATTTATTGTAAATCATTTGTGCATTGTCTTTATATTTTATATGTACAGTATATCTGTGTGCACTTAAAAGTAATAGATCACTAATCAGTGTTCACTGCTATCTGCCCTTAAAGCACTTGCCTTTCTTTATATATAATATAAACAATATTAAAGAATGATAATAATAAATTAAATATTTTTGTTGTGTTAAGTGCCAATAAAGGAATATGTATGACAATATCCATGCAATGTATTTCAATATGTGAATGTGCAACTAATTATTTCTAGCTATTAGCACTTAACAAAACACGACCTGTGAGGAGTTGATAGAACCAGTTTGGCCAGCTGATTGAAAAAGTAAAGTTTTTCTAGTCCAGGGCCAGTTAGGAGACTCGAAGAGTGTAAATCTGTGTAATGAAATTCTTGAAATGTTTTATTAAATTCTTCATGATTTTTGCACTCCGCTCTCACTCGGCGTTTCATTAAAATAATTTCCACCTGCGGCAGCCTGCAACAGCTTGAAAATTTTGTTAGCTCGTTTGTCAAATTTAACAGTAACATGGCTGGGGCTGTGTAATTATTAACATGTGTGACTA